GGTGCTTCAGTTGAGAAAACTTGGACAACTTTTCTGTCAACTTGTGCGAGATTGGGTCAGCTGTCATAGAATGCCCTTCGCAATTAAGGCTCACTGTGTTATGAAGACATTCCCCCATCGACTGCTTTGGAAAGAACGCCCTTTCAATCTGTTTGCTTTTGGCTACGGAGACATATTTTTTCTTCCTTTTGCTCCAGTGACTAATGGAGCAACAATCAGCCCATACTCCTGTTCACTGGTGGTAGACATGTAGGAGAGAGGAGCAGCCTTGCTAGAATAAATTTTCAATAGAAAATGAGGTTGCAGTTATACCTGTGAATCACTTTGGTGACAGTTTGACACGACAGGATTTAACAGTTTGAAGTTCGTAGTTTTGTCCTTTAACAACAATAATTGCATGACAAAGTTAATTGTAACAAACAAAAACAACATTACCCATGTCTCAAAGGCTCCCGCCCAATGCGGGGTAAGGGTGGGGGGTCAGATGTACGCAGCCTGACCCGTATGTTTAAAACATAGAGCGGATGTTTCAAGATGATACATGATGAGCGTCGAAAGTTGCATTGACCAACTCCTTCACTATTAAAAGAAGCGCAGATTTTTAACGTATAAGCTGCTTATAAGTTAAATATTCTTTCGTAGAAGTAAAATAACTTAAATGATAGATAATTCATTTGGAAATATTCATAAATGACGATGAATAGTTTTGTAAATAAACTTTTCAAAACTGAGAAACGAAAAAACTGGCTTAAAAATAAGTAGGTAAGACCTACTCAATTTTTCTAGCTTATAAGCAACTTATAAGCCAACTTATAATCATAGAGAAACATGTCATCAGCTGACTTATGAGTTAAAAATAACTTATAAGCACAAATAAATACCACTCTACATATGTAGTGGTAATTTTCAAAAGTACAAATTCGGGTACTTAACAGTACTCCCTCCATCCCACTATTTTTGTCTCATTTTACCTTTATTCGTTCCACTACCCCATGTCCCAAAATAGTGGGATGGTGTGAGTAGCATCTAATATGGTGTCTCTATTGTAACATTCTGTTCAGCTCGAAGGAATGAAAAGACGGCATGCTGGTTCTATGGATAAAACCCTGCCAATGGAAACCATCTGGAAGATATTCCCCCATCGACTGTTCTTTGGTCGCGATCATACACTCACATGGGGCTATGGTGGTGTTGCTTTTCTTAATCCTGAAATCACTGAAGACAAATCCCGCATGTGCCTCTATAGAATCACGTACCCTATCATATTTTTTTCTTTGTCAACTGTTTTAGAAAGAAAATGAAAGTATGCCTTAATTTTTGTTTAAAACTAATCTTCCCGCTCTTTGTTGTTGCAGGCTTGAGCAGTTCAATGATATTCTCCTTCTGGAAAATGTTTCAAGCTATGAAATGACAGATCCTTTATTTGATTTGGCTGCATTATGCTCCATTGAAGACAAAAAAACCATCTCAGTTGAAGCTGTGAAGGTACACATTATAGTCCCCAAGACCCCAATGCACACGTATATCCCCAAAAATGGTGTGCGTTGGAGACCCCGACGCACACCATTTTTTAATGTATTTCAAGAGTTCATAATTGCTGGGGAATAATCGTTTGGTAACTAGATTTAGAGTGAATTTCATAAATGGTCTCTAATTACAAGTGTTTTTCCATATTTAGTTCCCCATTTTAAGATATTCGTCCTCAATTTTTGAAAACTATTTCATAATCAGTCTTTCAAGGACTATATGTGGAAAAAATATTTTGTCATATTTGGCCAAAAGGACTGTTTATGGAATACTTTTCAAAAATTGAGGACCATTTATCTAATATTTTATAACTAGAGTAAATATGAAAAAACCACCTGTAATTGGGAACTATTTATGGAATTACTCATAGATTTATCATGATTCCTCTATCTGAATTCATCATTGATGCTGCTTGGATTTCATGCAGACTGGGTGGTACCACAACGTTCTTTACTTGGGGAAGGAGAATGGAATCCAGATTCTAACAATGACGTAAGCATGACCTCGTCACGTTCTTCCCAAACACAACCCGTCCATCCGGCTCTTATATCTTCCGTTTTTTTCCTTCTTGTCATGCAGGTGTTCCTCGTCTGATGTTGATAGCTTCAAATCAGGCGAGTTTCCCATTTGTGCCCCTTCCAAAGGCTACGCCGAAGTCCTGATCAAAGGATTGGTGGAGGGGAAGCAGTTCACAGAAGAGCAGGCTGCAGCATACATACACTATGCTTCTACTACACCATTGTGACCTTCTCTCACTTTGGTGATTTTGGCCTTTTTTGATGTAAATATGTGATTTTTGGACATGAAATTACTGTATATTTCATGTTCCAAATAAAACTGTCTTTATGATATGACGTTTTGTGCAATAATACCTATCGCTGTTTTATACATTTGTCATTACCAAACTAATGATCTCTGGCCTATTTGACCTTTTTTGGTTTAAATTTACAAACTTGGACTGCATTTTGTAAATAAAGTATATTTATAAGTTAAATTCAATATCTCTCCGACCCAATTTAAATTGTCTATTTGAGTTTATGATGATTGATTGAAGTTAGTTTCAATTTCATTTTATTTGAAAATTAAGGTGAAGATAAAAAATACTCCTTAGTCCCAATATTTTTGGGCACTTTCATTTTTGCTCTTAGACCAAGGAGAAAGAAATTAATAAGGAAAGTTACAAAATGCCCTTAAAAGCCAATGAATACTATATTTCCTCTCAAAAGAATCTGGTGAAGAACTCACATATCCAGATCCCTTAATAGACACGATGAGCACAATGAGGATTAGATTGGAATTCACCCTTGGGATGGATTAGCAAAATTAAAATTCACATATCTATTGTTCAGTAAAAAAAATAGAAATCTAGAAGACAATTGTAGATCTATTTGCAACGACAAGAAAGAAGAATGACGATTGAGAAGCAACAATGGCGGAATCGTCATTAGTCTAAGAAGCAACGAGTGCCAACAAGTTGTGATATGACTATATTATTTTATCACATGAGTAACAAAAATAAGTAAAGAGACTAAACGAGATTTGATCTTGTGAATAGTAAACAAAAAATTCAAATTGAAACATAGGAAATATCATTACGTTTATTCTGCATGCTTGGAAATATCATATTTTTATAACATTTGTTAATTTATTTATGTATACTCTGTAAAATATGGCTTTTAAAAGCTAAAGTGTTGCACATATGATATGGAGTATATATAAAAAAATCAAATAGGCAAACTAAATGAGTAAATGGGATGGAGAGTATAATTTGTAATCAATTCCTTTTATACACTTGTATTAATTCCTTTTAGACACTTGAATCACAGAGTATAATAATAGTAATAATAATAGCAATAATAGTAATAGTAATAATAATAATAGTAATAATAATAGAAATAATAATAATAGTACTAACAATTGAAATAATAATAATAATAATAATAATAGTAATAGAAATAGAAATAATAACAGTACTAACAATAATTATAATCATAATAATATTAAAATTAATAATAGTAGTAATAATAGTAATAATAATAATAGTAGTAATAATAATAACAATAGTAATAATAATTATAATCATAATAATAGTAATAGTAATAGTAATAGTAGTAATAATAATAATAATAATAATAATAATGATACTAATTGTAGTAATAGTAGTAGTAGTAGTAATAATAATAATAATAATAATAATATAACAATAACAAAAACAACAACAACAACAATAATAATATTGTTTAGATCTGATTTGATTTAACCTGATCTGGTCTGGTCTTGTCTAATATGATTGGATCTGATCTAGTTTGATCTGATTAGATCTGATCTGATCTGATTTTAATAAAAATAAATAATAAGAAAAAAAAATAAGTTGAACAGAACGCTGCCTAAGCGTAGGTTGAGGCTCGTACCGAAAAGTTTGGGGTGACTCTTTTTGCTCCAAGTATGCTCCACATATTTACAATATGGAGCAGGCTCTCGCCCATCCCCATTGTTTGTCACACTCACTCACACGAGCATTCTATAAAAGTAATCACTTTAAATAGAAGTAAAATATAAAGAAAGAAATGTGTATGGTTATTATTGGCACTGTAAATGCATTTTAACTCTTATTTTGGACACAAAATATGGAATTCCCATTTTGATATATTTTCAATGTTTTACTCATATATTAGTCTTTTTCCCTTCCACTAATTTTCTGCCCCGCCCCAAAACATCTGCCATGCTCGCCCTCCGGCCTCACCTCTTCATTTCTTTTACATTATTCACCATTTTTTATTCAATTTTTGATAAAAAATAAAATACATACAAAAGTATTATTAAAATAAAAATGTTAACAAGAAATAGTCGAAATAAAATTATTTTTTTAAAAAAATAAAACATAAATTAATGCTAGAATTAACTATTGTTGCGTCTCTAATTTTCGTTCTAAATGTTTTAGAGTGAAATGAGAAAGAGGATGATATATTAGAAATAAGAGTGAGATGAGATTGAATGAAAGAAATAAGAAATGAAGGAGTGATAAATTTAAAGGGTTGAAATTAAAAAAATAAACCGAGGTGCAATGACCACGCTACAATTGACAACCGCTAGGAAAGTCGCCCGCGCCGCAAGACCAATCACGCGCCTCAATAGCGGCATGCGCCGCGGCTGACATCTTGCAACCGCCGAGTGCTGCTCGTCCTTCCGCAAGATTCGCCGCGACGAGTCTTCTTGGCACCACTGTAAGTGCTCTAATTCCTTTAAAAAAATGTGTTAGTGTATATGAGCTGGTGTACACCAGGCTTGTCACCTACACAATCATACATACATGCTTGGTTACACCTTATTTGTTCACACAAAAAAAAAATGTTAGGATGCCACCACATGGGTGCTATCATGGGTGTTCCCATGCTTCGCACAGACAAACACAGACGATAATTGTTTGTGTCGCACAGACAATTATCGTCTGTGTTTGTCTGTGCGAAGCATGAGTGCACCCATGGTAGCACCCATGTGGTGTCACCCCCACAGTAGCATGGTCCAAAAAAATCACCAAAAAACGGCACTTGTGGGCTCGGAGGGAGTATACCTTGCTGAGCAGGAGACGAGTGGCGTCGTTTGACTCTGCTCTCCGCTGAGACTATTAGCCATGTCGGTCTCTCTCTTATCTCCTTCCACATCTCTTCCTGCCTTCACCAGCTCCTTATTTTCATCTTCAACCTACGCCACCGGAAACACCACGAAGCTGTTGCAGAAGAGGAGAAGAGTATTCACCTTCGTCCCAAAAGCTTCCGACAAGGATGGCGACGGAAAGCCGGCGTTGAACCCCTTCGGTTTCGTCACTGACAATCCGTCAAGCCGGAGCGCCATCCAGCTTCCTCAGTCCCCTGCGGAGGACGGAAACGTCGGCCAAGTGCTATCTGTAATGCAAACTCGTTTTTTTTTCCTTTTTCATTCCGTTTCAGTGCATTTATCTTGCCTAGAAAAGAGAAATTGAAGTGATTCCTGGTTATTCGTTCAACTTATGTTTTGGAATTTTTGAATAGAGGACAGAAAATTTGGGAAGAGAGTACGGATCATACGTGGAATCTGGCGGATTCAGGTGGTTTGTCAGAGAAACAGGTAATCTTTTTCTCTTTTAATTTAACCTTGATTACTGTTTTAGTTTTTAGGTTAGTTTAGATTACTGATTTGTGACTCCCATGCTCGTTAGGTCCAACCCAAATTGTAATTTATAATAATCATCCGTTGCAATCTAAAGAATTTCTGCACCAGCAGGATCCCCTGGAAGCAGGCGCGGAACGATAGTCTTTCTCCATGGAGCTCCAACGCAGTCTTACAGCTATAGAGTTGTTATGTCTCAGGTTTCAACAATTTCTTAAACCGTTTGAACTTCTAAACTTTGGTGTTAGGTGGGAATGTGGGATTGGGAAATGTGGCACCTTTGCCATGTTTCTGTACTATTTATTTAGTCTTAGTTAACATTTTTATTAGCTCCTTAATGCTCCAATACTCCCATGTATCTTTATGCATTGTTCTCTTTGAATAGATTGCAGATTATGGATTTCACTGCTTTGCACCTGACTGGATTGGGTTTGGCTTTAGTGAGAAGCCACGGTCGGGGAATGGTTTTGACTACACTGGTTTGTTAGATTAAACTATGAGCCTCTTCATAAATCTAAAAATGTTTTTTTAACAATCCGGCTTTACCCAGCACAAGCAGATGTCTTAACTTATTGACAAATATATTTTGGCAGAAAAAGAGTTCCATGAACAGTTTGATAAGTTACTTGATGTTCTTGGAATCACAGCCCCTTTTTTCCTTGTAGTCCAGGTATGAACCAAGCATGAGCTTACATTTAATTTCTATGCATTGGCCTGTTTAAGAATTAAAGAACTTCTCTGTATCATTTTTCAGACACACCTTAAGAATTTGAAGTTTGACATATCCACTCAATTATGGTGGTAATAATTATTGCAATAGATACATTTTCTTGAACAATATTTGTTATAAATTCTTGTAGGGATTTCTTGTAGGCTCATATGGATTAACTTGGACCCTTAAAAACCCCAACATTGTATCAAAACTTGTGATCCTCAACAGTCCATTGACACCTTCATCTCCCATTCCTGGTCTCTTTCAACAGCTCAGGTTTCATTTATGTCATTCATGATTTTTTTGTACTAACTCTCAAGGAAGTTCACCTGAAAATTTTGTCCGTGATGTTCTGCAAGCATACAGATAGTTTACATTGAATTAAAGGACCATAACTTGATAGCTTTTACTGGCATTGCATTCATCTTCTTTCAGTTGATTTTCGTGCTGCTGCTGAAATGATTTTACTTCTTGGTGCCTTGCATTTGGAATAACTCTAAACAGATGAAAGGAAATGCACCATTTTAATCTTCTCACGGACAAACCTAACTATGGATCTAAATTCATTGCCCGCAGCTTGTATATTTGCAGATTGTGATACCATCATCACTAAAAGAAATATTATTGGCACAAAAGAGCATGATAAAAATTTCTTTTAAATTATTCAAAATCAGCTTTGCGAAACATGTATCTCTGAAATGGATGATCTACTCATTATGTCAATTTGGATGGTATTAACATTCATCATCATCATCATCATCATCCGCACCATAATTGATGTATCTGGGCTCAGCCTCATCATGGTTCGCCCTATACCCTACACTCCCGGGGGAAGCCGAGGACCTATGTTTAAGCTATATGATCCATTTTGAAGGCCCTTAAACCCATGATCCTCCTCAATCCCTACAATCCAGAAACAACACCAAACCTTAACCATTCTCCCCCTTCTACTTTTCATCTTGGCCGAACCCATCTTCCCCAAAACCCTACCTCATTCACCCCTCAAGACCATGTTAAAACACACCCAACAAAACCCCCTTCATAACCCTTAAGTTGGTCGAAAACAAGAAGCCAAAACAAACCCATTTACCCCTTAAAACATCCACCCAACAAGGCCCCCACTATGTCCCCTAAACCAGACACAAAACATCCATTACTTAACAAAACACACATGGCACAACTTTAACAATTTAACCACCAAATAAACCACCACACCACATGCCAAAACAACACATGCCAATCCCTCCCACTTGCCTCATGGCCTGGCCGAATACAACCCCCC